CTATTTTTTCTAAGGTTTATACAGCAAGTGAAGTGAATACTTCTTTTTGTGGCACCAAAGGCAAAGAACCTTTCATTTTTTGCAGTTATTAAAGCTTCTTTTAGGGGTTTATGATCAGGAAGTTCACTTTGAAGATTAAAGGCAAAAGAGTTGTTTTGTTCCTTCTTAGTGGATCATGGATGCCATCTTCTTCTTCTTCTTCTTCTTGTTTTTCTTTGGTGTGTGCACGCACTGCTGGGGGAATAGATTGTATGTTATGGGGTCTTGGGACGTTTATTTACTCCTCTAGGAGTTTGTTACTTGCAAAGATGGTTGTAACTTTAACAATTTCAAAGAAAATTTTTGTTTCCTTCTCAAAAGGAAAAATAAAAACACTTAGTTACTTTGTTTATATTAATTTCTTGATAATTGTACCTGGGCTCGATGGAGAAGAACATCTAGGTCAAACCCAGAGATATTGTGTCCAACCAGCACATCACTATCCAATTTGAACAATTCAATCATTAATCGATTCAACAAGGCTCGTTCACTGCAAGGGAAAAGTTCTAGTTAAAACAATAGGACAGAATGAATGAAATAACTCCATTCACTACCTAAAAAAAATATATATTAATATTATAATTTTGCTAGTAGGAGAGAAGTTTTCTACAAGAAACAGAGTAATATTTTAGGACAATACTACTAAGTAACCTACTTGCCCTCGCAGATTAAAACATTTGATCCAGCCTTCGAATTTCTATCTGTGGACTCTTTAGCAAATCCCATAGGAAATATGCCTCCATCAAGCTTACGGATGATAGTAAAATGTCTAAGCATACCAGGCTTTTTCCATTCTGTGGCTAACATGGGACCGTCAATCTGAAATGTCAAGCAGTAGTTGATGAAGATTTAATAATGTTAAATAATCTCCATATACTTTGATAAATATCTGTATACTTGAGAGTAAAAACAAGCTAATAATTATTTTACAAAAACTTGCCATAATTAGCAACAGTTTAACTATTGAAGATACATACTTCAAAAGCTTATAAGTAGTCATTACAACTCTTCCAAAAACTCCTCCATTCTTAAATTGATTTCATTCATAAAGTTCAATTGTATGCATCCATCATACCGAATTCACAACATAATGCTACTCTGAGATACAGATAGATTGATAAAAAAAAAATGTAAAGATTCAACAATTCTACTTGAAAGTTTGTATTTTTCCTGTCAAGTAGACCATGTTCCTGTGAGGTATATAGTTGCTGTGACTCTTATCAATTATCAAGTACACTAGCATAACCCTTCAAACATCTAATAGCTGATTGACAAATCCAATTCACATTTTTAACCAAAAAAAAAAAAGTTGTCACACCGGAAGAAAAATGCAAACATAATCATTAACAGTGGCAGTAGTTCATAACTAACCTTCGCTCTTTGACAGCATATAACAGACGCAGACACAATTTCATTCACATTCTGCTTTTCATTAATAATGGTCTTTATGTTTATTGCAGTGACAATCATAGGAGGAATCTCCAAAGTTTTGCTTGATGAAGTTGAAATCTGAACATCTTTTGGAGAGTCAATTATCACCTCAAACTTGCACCAGCTCACCTTAATAAGAATATCATCATAGTATTAGCTTCTTTGATGTATATAAATATTAGTAAATTATGAAAGGTCCAAGCAGTCTTACTCGTTGAGAACCAGGACAGGAAGAAAATTTTGAAATTGACAACCAGGAGGGACCCTTTATTTTCCTTTTAATGAGAAGAAGCTCCAAGGCACTGCATTTATTGACATGTTAAAATCATCAATTCCCTTAATCAAGAAAGTATACTGAATGCACATGATCATATAGTTGATAGAACGTAAAGATGTGCGATGGCTAGAAAAGATAAAACGAGCATTCTAAGATATTAATACCTGCGATGTGTTCCTAAGAGTGCACAGAAGGATTCTCCTTTTAGATCAGCAGGAAGTGGGGGATGCTGTCACAAGTTTAACCATAGTCAGTAATTCCCAAATGGCAGTGATAATAAAAATATAAATTAACAATAAAAAGAAAACTAAGAGATGTGCCTTCCCAAGGGAAATTAAGAATTTAAACCTCCAAAGAACTACAAATTATGGTGTTCAAGATCTCACTGTACTAAAACACTGAAAAGATGAATCTTAATTCAAATTAAAAGTATCATACCTTGAATGGGTAATTAATCTTAAGAACATAATTTTCCCCCGTAGGTATGTCTTGACGCTCAAATGCATATTTCCTCTGTAATGATATTTTTTTAATAAATACATAATAAGCTGGTAATTCAAAAAAATAAAACAAAATTTGGCATTGTACAACTACATTATTATATATATGAAATAAACAAAAGTTTAATTAGCAGACCTTAACGGGTGTCATGCTAAATGTTGGAACATTGAGATCTAGCAACTGCTGAGCTATTTCATTTTTTAATCCTGCAGTCACTTCCTAACAGAAGTAAAGTATAAATACATTAACAGAAGCAAGCAAGATAAAAATTTCTTCAGAGAGACCAAAGGATACCAAGCATAACATATTCAGTTACAAGAGTGGATAACATTACTTGCAACTTGGTACGCAGATCTGTAGGAGAAAGCTGGGATTGTTCGGCATCGTTCTGAAGCTTCAACATCTCATCCGAATGAAGAAAAGAGGCACTTGGAATGGCATATACGCATCTCTGCACGTTTTTCACCACCACACAACAACTGTGGTACGTATCTCCAGCTTTGACCTATTACAAGAAAATAGGAGACCAAAGTCAATCAAGATGATCACTCTTATCATCTGGATTCACTTAGTACTAGTCGGTTCTACTAATTAGTATTGATAGGCAGTAAACTAGTGATATTCATTTTATGAGTTGCAAGTGTTCGAATGATTACTATTGATAGGCAGTAAATTAGTAATACCTTGCCAAACAGATATACGGTGCCCATATTTGCACCGAAGAGCTCCTCATGCGCATCAACCATATAGAAAGGCAGAGAGCCATCAGCGTCAATATCAAAATGGGATTTATCTTCAGAAGTATCTGCAGCAGAATCAGCATTTCCACTCCCTTCACTTCTCACTGCTTGCCATCCCGCAGTGGCACTCAAAGCTGGGTCTTTTACATCGCTAATCATAGCATTCAAAGTACAAACCGGCTCCTTCTTCACTAAAGCTTCTGACTTCGTTTCTACCACAGTTGGCATATTATCTTCAATTACATCATCCTTGATCGAAGGATTATGAGATTGCCCAACTGAAACCAGATTCATTTCAGAATCTAAATTATCCTTTGAATCAAATTTCTTAGTTTCACCATTTCCCTGGATCTCTATATCAGCTTGCACAGACTCCAAATCACTGTTTGTGAAATCCTTGGTCATTCCAGAGTTCCCGTTTACAGTACCCTTAACCAATTCAGATCCACCAGTTAAATTAAGACTCTGAGCAATTATTCCCTCGCATTTCATAGCAGAAACAGGCGCAAATGTTTTCGATATCGATGTAGCTCCAATTTGCCCCTTTCTACGCCGCTCTCTATCAGTCTCATCCGGCGCAAATTCGGCAATCACATCATCGACAATACTGTCACAAGCCAACCCTTTAGCCTTATCATCTTTACCCGTTTTCCTGAAGATCGATGAAGTGAACATCGAAGAAAGCTTCTGTTTCCCCATCATCGCAGCCGCCGCCGACAGAGAAGTAGAAGAGGGCTTCTTCGGTTGCGCTTCTTTCTTCTCTGATTTCCTCTTCTTAGGTTTCTCAGGCTCGCCATCAGACTCATCGGAGAAACAAATCCCAGCTTTGGACCAATCCTCTTCCTCGCCTTCGTCTCCATATCCAAGACCGTCGTCGTCAACAATAAACCCTCGGGCTTCTTCGCGCCGCTTTGCGACAAGAGCATCATACTCGTCCTCGGGAATCGTATCGTAGATAGGGTTCTCCAACTTAACTTGGAAACCACCGGCTTCTGATCGACGGCCGCCAGTGCGGATGGCTTTGAGACGTTCCAGAGCCTGAAGGCGAGCGGTTGCCTCAGATCCTCGGCTCCTCCGGCGATTTGCGGCTGAAGGCTGCTCGTCCGCCATTTCTGATTAGAAATTAATCTGGACGGCGCTGGAGTTAACTTGGATTTTGTTGGTGCGAATTTGCGTCAGGGTTTGGAGTCGAAATGGCGGGAAGAACTTGTGCTTTTTGGCGGGAAACGGGTCTAATGTTCTTTATTTCCTGTCCCTCTACATATATAAAAATAAAAATAAAAATAAATATTAATTAATAAAAATATTAAAAACTACCCAAAACGAAAAATAAATTATTTAAAACTATTTTAATTATAAAAAGAGAATAGTTATCGAGAGTTATTTATTTAAAATTAAATAATATAATAAAATAATTGAAAATATTTTGTATATTTTGATGTTATTTTCCTAGATATTTTTTTTTCCAAACATTACAAACAAAACCTTCAACTCAACTGACGCCAAATGAGTACTAGACATGTCATACTACTTTGCATCGTCCTATTTTCTGGAACTCTCGAACAGTCTCTCCTTGATCGAAGCTTGGCTCCTTCTTTGGAGCCTATCGAACAAATTGGTAAATATTATTCACTCTAATTATAAGCTCTCATTGCTCTACTCTTGGTTTCCTTATAAGACTTCATACCGATAGAGACAGTATTTTTGACTTATAGCTCGTGATTTTCATCTTAATTAGTTAATGAGAGACTACTCATCTCAATAATTTTTAATATCATTTTTACGTAGAATTTCTCTTCCAGGCATGTCCCTAGCAATAGTATATTCCAGATTTTGTTACGAATAAATAATAAAATATATACAATTTCCAAGTTGAATATGTTCTGTCGTTACATTAATAATTATTTACAGAGTGACAAAACTGTCTCGCAATCAGAACAGAACCGTGGAATAATCCTTCACAAAAATATTTTTTCTACTGTTCCTACTTTTATCTACCCAAAAATAAATCAAATAAAAATTCTCTCCATCACCTCACTGTCACCCAACTTTCTGTAAAAGACCAATCCAATGGCTTCTCCGTCACTACCCGTCGGAGTCTATTCATCATCTCCGCCGTCGAACTAGAACAACACAAACTCATCTCCTCACAACGTTGATTTGAAGAACAAATGAATTCCGGGAAGTCGAAAGGACCCGTCGGCGACTCGGTTGTTAAGTTCGATTCTTTTAATGTAACAGTCTCACCGGCACCGGCCACAAATGGGTGATTCAGAAGCATCTCCGCCGTCCATCTCTTCCTCGGATCCTTGACGAAACACCGACGGAGAAAATCTTTCCCCTCTTCCGATAAATTCTCTGGCAGCTCCGGCACTTCGTCTCCGACTCCGATCATCATCATCAGCCCAAATATATCCGTTTCTGGCTTAACCCTCCACGCCGGCTTTCCTCCCACCATCTCCACGACGGCGCAACCCAACGCCCAAACATCACACGGCGGCGCATACTTCCCGCCGTTTACCGTCTCTGGCGACATATACATCGGCGTCCCTCTCCACTCAAATTTCTCCTCTGTTTCCTCTGTTTCCGCCGCCGCGGCCTCTTTCGCAAGCCCAAAATCAGCGATCTTAACCTCACCATTCCCAAAAACCAACACATTGGAAAGCTTCAAATCGCAATGAACAAACCCATTACCATGAACATGCCGAAGCCCACAAAGAATCGCCCTCGTATACCGTCGAACATCAAATTCCAGCAACCCACCGCCGTGGAGTTTCACAGTATCCGCAAGGCTTCCGCCATTGGCATACTCCAAGAACAGATTATAATACTTCTCCCCATCTCTTTCAACACTAAATCCATCGCCAAAACAAGTAACGATTTGTGGGCAATTCCCAATTCGATCCAAAACCTTCTTCTCGTTCTTCAGCGAAACAGAGGACACCGAAACAGAAACAGAGGATTTCACCGCCATTAATGGCGGAAACTGATCGAAGCCCTTTGTGAGAATTGCTAAACTGATCGTCCCAAAATTTCCACGACCCAGTTCATCTCCTCGAACCCACTCCATTGATGAAACTCAAAGGCTAAATCTTTTTGGTTCTCCGATGGGTTTCTTTCTTGGCGAAGAAGATAGAAATAGCGATGAATATATAATTCGAAGATTCTTAAAGGTAATTCCATAAAAGGAAACGGAGTTGTAAGCCGAAGATCATATGAAATCAAAAAGGAAAGAATTTTAGAAGTATTTATGGCACATGATCACCACGGAAGATTTTTGGCCGTTATCTTTACGAATTTAAGATATTTTCGTTGATTGAATATACCAATATAATTTTACATATTCTTCTCTATCTTTTATTGTATTTAAATGGTTAGGTATTTTTCTATAAAATTATGTATGATTAGTAATAATGTGAATTAGGATACGTTAATGTTTAAATTCATTCTCTAAAATTGGGCCTTTTTTTTTTAATTAATATTTTAAAAAAATTATTTTAACGTCTCTATTTTCCTATTAAAAATAAGGTCGCCAATGTATATATGGCAATAATTATTATGTGAAAACGATGATAATATTGAATAAAATTAAAAGATAAATTATATCATTTTAATTTTTTAAATTATATATTTCAGTTTTTTTAGTGTTTGAATATTGCTTGAATATCTATTTCAATATTTCAAAAAAAAAATTGTATTTATCTCCAAAAGTAAATAAATTCTTTTTTTTTTCTCTCTAAAATTACATTTAATGGGTGAGATAATGTGAGGAAATTGTTAATATTTTTTTTAAATTGCTTTTGTTTTGAAGAATATGCTAAAGTCTAAAATTGAGAAAATAAAAATTAACTTTTCAACCAATGCATTTAAAATTGAGTAAAATGTCAAATACATCCTTAAATTTGCCATTGCTATCAATTTTTCAGGTTAAAAACTGTAAACTTAGATAAATATTGTAATTTTAACCGTCAAATTTTCACTGCTTCATCCAATAATTTTAATAAAATCAAGTTGTGTACAAAAAAAACAAAAGCTCTAATGTCCATCTTTTATTTCTAAACTTTTAATGATAATTACAATTTGCTCACAATAATTTCAATTATTATTAAATAATAAACATCGACATTTAATTTTAATGGTCTTTTTTTTAATATTAGAGACTAAATCATTACAACATGAAAAAAAATTTAAAAACGGAGTAAATACAAAATTGAAAGTATATGAACTGAATCATTATAAATCAAAATTTAACCACATAATTATTACTTTATTAAAAGTTAAAAGGATGAAAAGTGATTTTTTTTAGTACGACGTTACTACCTATTTTGAGGATATGAAATTATAGTTAAGAAATATTCGAAATAATAGGTAGTTACTACTTATATCAATAAGATGCACATTCATTTTCGTGGTGAAGCAAAATTATATATTATGGTGACATCCTGTCACAAAAAATGTTGAAATGACTTATGTTGGTTTGTGAGAATAGTCTTTACTCTTAAAAACATTTTAATATAAAGCGAATGTCAGGACCACCACATGTCGAATCCAGATTTAAAATCTTAGTTCAAATTTCAATGAATTAAAATACTGAACAAATTATTATATTTTTATATTTTAAGATTTTGAACTAGTTGTACCCTGATATGAGCAAATATGTTGGGAAATTGAAGTAATTCAACATAAATAAAAAATAATAATAATAATAATTATATAGAAAATGTTGAATTATGTTATAAGATAAGATATTTAGGATATATAAACATTATAATTTGGCATTTGAGAAACCCAAAATCCATGTTCCAAGAAAAGAGACACTCACCTCTTCCCTAAGACTCATTGCCTGCTTTTCAGCCTTTCATTTTATTATTTTATCTATAAATAATCGACCAACCTCAATCTTTTCTCATTTTCGTACCATTTAAGATCAATCTATGATAGATCGAACAATTTGTTAAAATAATATTTAGGTCCGATGTATCGTTCGATGAACGGTAGATATTGACTCTAAGAAAGAAAAAGTAGGTACAAATGTTGATAAGGAACATGGCGTTCCAAATGTTTCAACTGGACTTATTACACGATTCAACTGGACTTATTACACGATTTAAGGCTAAGAAGATTTAACAAACATTTATTCTTCATCTATAAGATTAGATAGACTCGGTTCAACCATTATTTCATGTGTTACTAGCTGATTTGATTGAGGAAGGACCATTTAGAGATTTAGAAGTGAATATTTGCACGGTTAAAATAGTAGATGAAGTGGTTATAAATTGCACTTGATTGATAAATTGTTATAAAAATTTATTATTATTTTTAATTTCATAATTCTTGTAATTCTGGTAAAGGGCAAAAGGGTGAAAGTCATACCTCTCTTATTCTAAAGTTAATTTAATTTTAAAATTATCTCTTGGTTGATCGAATTTGGTATGGGGAGGTGTTAATTTTTTTTATTCAAGGGTCTTTCAAAGTTTGGAGGGTTGGACGGAAGAGCTAAGTCTCTGATTCTATTAATCAAAGTTTCCTCTCGTGACTAGTGTTGGTTTGTATCAAAAGTGTTTGTGGGTCGAGTTGGATCAAGTTTGAACATTTTTAAAACTCAACCCATTGTTCGGGCTATAAATTTTTCGACCAAAACAACCATTATTCAAATTATGAACCCAACTCAATCATATATTTTTTGGATTGGGTTGGTTCGAATGGTTTGATTTATTTATTCAAATTTTTGTTTGTAATAAGAATGTAAAATATTTATTTTTGTTTTCAAATATTTAATTTAAATTTGTAATTTAATTTTAATATATATTATAAAAAATTACCTTATTCGTAAGAATAAAATAAATATATGCACGTATAATTGTATTGCGAGCACAAATATATATATTCTAAAATTGATAATAAATTCTAAATTTGAGTGAGTTCGATTCAAATCAATGGAATAAAAGCATCTCATCCAAATTCAATAATATTGTACAAAATTCTCTCACGCTAACAAAAATTTATTAGACAGAATATTTATGGCATCGAAATATAACGTTTTAGAATATTATATCACAATATTCTATTTCGATTTTTACCTATTTTAATTAAAATATTGAAATATTTAAAAAATGGAAAGTTTTGTATTTATGGTTAAAATTCAAACGACGTAGGATCTAACCCATGTTCAACAGATGGGATGGAGACTCGAAACCTTCTCGGGTCTAAACAAAATATAATATTCTACCAACTTAATTTATAAAAAATTAAATTTAAATATTACAACCATCTTATTACTAATAATATTTAACATATTTACTCAAATAAATGGAAACAAGAAATACTCATGCGTGTACACATACACATATATAAAGCGGGCGTGGAAGTGTAGGATAAGAATATAATCCTTATCACTGGTTTCATTTAGCTAATGAAGAATCTCAACCCTGCATATCAAATGGACATCTATAGATCAAAATTCATACCTTAATGGCCGTGCAAGTTAAGTATCAGATTTGAACGAATGTGAAGTTTGAATCCGAAAAATTCAAGGAGAGGTCGAGAAACACGTGAAGATGCCAACAACTTAGAGATGAGAGGGTACATACAGTAACAACAAATTCACGAAGGAACTGAGAATCTAATTTAACATGTTTGACCTGCTCGTAAGAAACAAGATCGGAGCTCAAAAAGTACATCGAAGAACCGATTATAATAATAATATTAGTGTGGGGTGGGGTGTGGTGTGGTGAGATGAGTATTGAGCAGAGCAGTGCAATGGATATTGGAAGAAGAATGGGATGAGATGAGAGCAAGTTGTAAGTTACCCGAATCTGCATCGCTGCCACTGCTTGATTGTCAGTCTTACTCCTTCCCCTACTTGCCCACATGCATAACCTACTGATCCGAGTCACGACACACGTTACTCCTTTTCTTATTTCTAATCGACTCAAAATACAACAACCTTAATTCCAGTCGATAGAGTACAACTTACTAAGTTGGGTCTCACGATGAGTGTTCTTTCTTGTTAGATCCAGTTGAATCTACATATGATGACCTCGATTCATGAGTCGAGAAGGAATTGTATCAAGAGAAGAAACTCGTCGCACTAATATTGAAATACACAAACTATACTTCAATCCAATTTAGAAACCTTGTTGATCTGTCGTCTTGTATTGAAATTTTCAAATAAAAGTATTTTATATTATATGTCTCGAAACTATGCAATAGGACCCATTTTTGAAGTAATTTTTAATGGGTCTTTAATGATTTTAATTTTCGATTTTACCCTTAATTTTATTCTTAAAAAGTTAATTAGGTTTTTTTTTAAAATTTTTATTTTTAATAGAAAAATAAAACATATTAGAATTTATTAATAAAAGAAATGTAGGTTCCAAATTCCAAGGTAGCTGAATAAAGTGATATTAAATACCATAAATTTAAAAATAATAATGGCAACAAAAAGGGCAGACAAGTTGGAAGTGTCAATGACAAAGCTGGGAGTGTTGCAACGTTACATACAATTTGCAACATGGATCTGATTCAATGGCTCGATGTCTTAGGCACTGTTTGCTCGGTCAAATAACCTCCTTCTCTCATAAATTGTGTACTCGTATAAGTTTTCATACCATGTATTTGTCTAAGTCGACTTCATTCGTTTCATTTGCTCGAGAAGACTTCTGGACAATCGAGGTGTTAAAGTATATATTGTATGTAATGGCCCAAGCACTTCGTTAGCAGATATTGTTGTTGTTGGGCTTTTCCTTTGGGCTTCCCTCAAAGCTTTAAAATGCGTCTGTTAGGAAAATGTGGGATATCACAATCCACCCCACTTCAAGACCTAGTGTCCTCGCTCACACTCGTTCCTTTCTCCAATCGATGTGGGATCCCCACCAAATTCACCTCCCTTCGGGGCCCAGCGTTCTTATTGGCACACCGCCTTGTGTCTACCCCCATTCAGGGAAGAGCCTCCTTGCTAGCACATCGCCTGGTGTCTACCTCTAATACCATTTGTAACGGCTCAAGCACACCGTTAGCAGATATTATTCTCTTTGGACTTTCCCTTTCGAGCTTCCCTCAAGGATTTAAAACACGTCTGCCCTTAAAGAGTGTTTCGTTCTCCTCCCAACCAATGTGATATAGATATATATATATATATATAATCAAAACTCAATTTCACGCGTTATTGATGTTTAAGTTATGATTATTTACGACACAATCAAAAGTCAATTTCACGTGGGAGCAGTAGGTGGGCTCGTTAGCACACACTCGTGCTACCAAAACCAACATAAAAGAAATGAGTCCAAATAATATTTTGAGTGGATGCGTCTGTACATTACATAACTAGAGAAATAATCAATAACTATATGAGCATATAATATGCATGAGGTCATACTTTTTAAATCATTTGTTCAGTGATATGATGCACAATAACATTTTATGAGTTCATCATTTCACGGGGCATGCATTCATAATCACGATCTTTCGTAATATCTACAAATTGATATTTGTGGTATCTCCTATAACATATTCATAGTCGTACAAAGTCATAATCGATCATATATGAGTACACATATATCACATAAAACTTATCGTCATTAATTTAATAACATGTAGACATTCTAACAGTAAGTTCAACTTACTATTCAAGCTCAACTCGATGCTCCTAAGCTTCTTCTAGTTGATCGTTACTAAATTCAGTCATAACGAGTTCCAATTCCACCTACAACATTTCATTCATTCGAGCAATTGATCATAGAGATTATTCATTCAATTAATTCAACCTAATTATCTTAAAATGAGCTCTAACTAGTAATAATTATTAATAACCTCACTAAAATAACCTTTTTCTAGTCTTAATTGGGTCGAGGACGCTCTAGAATGGTCCAAATAGGTAATTGAGCCTATTGCAGCCAAGCTGAGTCGACGTAGTCTCAAGCTAGGGGATTGATTGCGAGGAGTTGATCGCATGCTCTTGTTTGACATTAACTTGGAGAGCACCATGTCACAATCCAGGATGAGATTGTGCCTCGAGAAAGTCATCGAAGATGATTACTAATTTAAGTGGCGGAGAATGTCACAACCATACCATGAAGAGAGTAGGTTGTGATAGACCACACGCGTAACACATGAGTGATGCTCGACCTGACTCGATGATCTGTCTCCTTTGCATGAAAAACAATGGTTGGTGTTTTCTCTTCTCGGTTGTCTACGTCCAAAAATACTTCTAAAAATTTTGACGAGATCCTCAGAAATGGCATTAAAGAAAATAGAAAAAAAAGAAAGAAAAAGAACAGAAAAATAGGGCCGCAAAGTGTGGATAAAATAAATACCTTGTGGGCGCCGGAAAGCAAAATTGATTTTAAATAATAATAATAATAATAAATAATAATAATAAGCTCTTGCCCCGACATTGATAAGCTCCACGGGCGGTGACGCTGCTTTCTTGCACAGCTTCCAATGAAAATGGCAAAGGTAACAAGATTTTTTTTTTTTAATAATAAAAAACAAGGCTTTAATTGTAATTTTGAAATCATTTAAAACATTTTATAACGATGGATGTCATGTATATAAGCGTACCTAAGAAATTTATTTAAATCACAACTTTATTAGCAAAAACAATAAAAAATAGAAATAACTCAAATTAAAATAAAGTTTGCATACATCCCATCTAACCTCGAGACTACTACATGTAGCTGTCCTATCTTTGCTTCTATAGCTTTTGGAACAACGATGTCATTTGTACAGGTGAGCCTTGCTTCTACTTGAATGATAGGTGATATGATTGACATGCAATTGACAGATTGGCATTATGTACAACCCGGATATACGCATGCAAAGCTATGATGAAAATGTTATGACGAAGGAAGACACTAGTGGGCTTGTAATACATAATAATGAAAATGGATAAATGTTGAGACCTCATGCATTATTATGTGTTCATGCATCGGGGGATACCCCTTCTCCTTTTACGATAGTATGGACGTGTACGCTACGAGACAGGTAAACAATCATTATGTTTACCATAATGCTGCCATGATGGTCGCTATTCCTAACGGATGTTCGATATCAACAGCTACCAGAGAATGCTCACCCGGCTAGAAAGGGGCCCAAGAGGTGTGCAAATTGACTGATGGACACGTGTAGACCGTGTATAGAAAATTAAATACACATCCAATTGTCCGTTTACAACAGTCATCGTAAGAAAATAAACTAATATGATAAGTGCCACTCATGATTTGTATGTTAGGTTCCACTCATAAACTTACGGAGTATTTCTTAGAATACGGTTAACGACAATATCACATTTCGACACCATGACACATGCACAATGTAGTTGCATTTATTTTCTTAGACTTAGATTAAAATAGAATATTTTTATTTTTATGTTTAGTATTTTGTTGCGTCGTTTTAAAGATATTTTCAAAACACATAAGACTATGACAATGTTAAAAAATGAAGTTTATGTTTTATGATAACGTTTAAACGCTTATTTCTGCATAAAATGATTACATTATAATGACTATAGCATCTCTAGGTAAATAGAAATTTGGGTTCATTATATGTTTGTAATGATTATGTCTTGGGACATAACTTATCCCATAGCCTATAATAGTTCAACTAGAAATTTATGGGGAAGACCTGTAGCTAATAAATGCAAATATTTACCTTCCCACAAACTAGCATATGGAAATAATAGTAAGGATCGAAAAATGAAATATATTTTTAATTTTTAAGTTCGAGGACTAAAATAGACGGTTCAAAAGCTTAGAAATAAAGTGGAATAGAGGTAAAAATTGGCGTTTAAACCAATTCTAGAAATAGAAGCATTTGTATGAGATGTTCAGGTCAAAAAGAAAATTGTAACTCAATCAAAATTAGGATAATGTTCTCATTCAAACTAATGGCAGTGGAAGACCAAAAGTTTCTTATATATAATAGAGACAACCGGTTGTTCATATTTTATTCAACGCAGAGACACATAAGCAATGCTTGGAGCAAGTGGCTGTATCATTTTATCTGTACTATATAGGAACAACGAGTCTATATAGGAACAACGAGTCTTACTTTGGGCTAGAGCGACCAATAATGGCTGTTTTTATTGCAACTCCCCAACAGGCGCCTCATTTAGCCACAAGAAATGAATGAAGTCGTACAGTTTCGCACTCACGCTAACCTGCATATAACATTGTAAACTTGTCAAACCGATCTGATCAAGACGATGAAAGAAAAACCAATGAGATTGAGATGTCTTGATAGTATACTTTGTATGGAGTTGGATTAAGTTTTCTCATGTGATCACGACGCATGTTCTCGAGTTGTTTAATGCAACGACTCCGTATGTGCTTCAGAGCTGGTAAACATTCTGCTGTTTTACCTTTAGGGAAGAAAAAAAAGAAAGGAATTGAGTTAGCCATTAATTGGATGCTTGAATATGGAATTTTCAGTGAAAAATATACACAGGTTTTAACCTGATTTTCCACTCCAGTAGCACTTGAGAAGCTCCTCTACTTGCTGTGGCACCACATATGCTCTTTTCGATTCATTAAATGGGTGACGGCAGAGAATTCTTTCGCCCACCTGCCGTTTTCCCATGAAAATAAAATGAAATAGTTTAATTTTTGTATGAATAGTCACTAAGCTTTCTTTTTGGTTAAGAAAATAGTCACTACCAAATCCAAACCCAACCTTTTGAACGAGAATATTATGCTTTCACAAGTTAGAATAGTTGTGCGTTATGTTGGAGAATTACTCGAGGCTTATCCAAGGATTTCTATTTAAAGTTCACGATGAAATAAAGCTACAATTTATACTGAGCAGCATGTAACCAGCCATATTCTTTTATCAATGGTTGATTTCTGGTAGAAAAAGAGAATTTTAACTTTTAACCAAATGAAGTAAGGTAAATTATCTTACTATTTTTCATAGTTCTTTTGAGAGGGATGCATATGTCGTCTATAATATAAAAAAGGCTAAATAAATCTATAGATAGAAGGTAACAATAAATCTAAACAAATCCTAGATACTAGTAACCATACAGATAAGGTCAACTACTTCCCTTATTTTATGGGATTACACAAATATTTCTTAAATCAAGGTCATGCCTTAACACTCTTCTTCACTCCCTCAAGCCTAGAAATAGATATCAGCCATTCTCAACTTGGATACTAACTCACGAAACATTTCGTTGTGAGGTTTTTTGGTTAGTATATCTACTAATTGAAGCTAAGAGGGCACATAACATAACTAATGCATATTTCTCCTTGATAAAATGTTGATCAATTTCAATATACTTTGTCCTATCATGCTGGATAAGATTATGTGTAATATTGATAGATGATTTGTTGTCGCAGTACAACTTTATCGGACTTTCTTTTTTAATTTGTAAGTCATCAAGGATTATCTTTAACCATAGGAGTTCACATATCCCTAGTGCAATAACTCAAACCCGAATTCAATTGGTAAAGCCTTCATACCTCTCAACCATCCATTGAGATCAAGTTCCATTTGGAGACTTCATAGCTGCAGACTAGGCTGAAAAGCAATTGTTCTGCCTTCCAACTAGCCAGGTTCGCATATTGGTCCAATAGTAATCGCAATCCAACCTAAGGAAGCATATTTCTATAATCCCAATCCTACGTAAGCAAATTTTTGAAGAGCCACCACTATAAATCCTTGACAACCCAACTCAAACCCATTCGGTCCATAGTTTACATTCAACAACACTAGGGAAAATCCATTCAGCAACGCTAGGGAAAAATCCATTCAGCAACGCTAGGGAAAAATCCATTCAGCAACCCTACAAAAAAAAAAAAAAAATTGGTCCACTATTTCCGCAAGCCCACTCACTGTTTTTCTAAGCCCATTGTTTACATATAAACCACTGCAAATTCAATTTTGTTTCTGTAAGCACACCACTACTTACGTATCTAAAATTCCCTCCAAACCTAACCATTCATTTTCCGTAACTCATTGGACACATCATTTTTAAGGTGGAAAGAAGGGGTTGGACCTGCAGAGGTGGACATATCATTTTGTTACTCTTTTCATTGCTAGAGTTTGGGCAAAATTAATGCTGCAGTCTCCTGGTTTTTGGAGATCTTAAAAACAATTTTTGTGGAAGGTACAGGATGTGAGCTTTTTAGGCCGAGTTATTGCAGTTGTAGAAGCTGCAAATTTCGCGGGACTGTCATTTTTAGAGGCATACAACATATCTAACCCATCCACATGATGTCATCTATATACACCTATCATTTTTCGCGGGACTGTCATTCACTCTTTTCTTCTTCATTATCTCCAATGACTATGATGTCATCTATATACACTAGGAGCATTGTAACTCCCCTTGTTTCTGAGTGCTCGATAAAGAGAGTGTGATCTCCTTAACTTTGCTTATACCCAAAGTCTTTCAAAACCTTTGTGAATCTTCCAAACCACGACCTTAGTGATTGTTTTAGTCCATACAAGACCTTTCTCAATTTGCATACTTTACCTCTTGAGCTTATTAATAAATCCATCATATTTTTCTGTTGTGATATGAAAATGCCTTGAGTTGAGTATGCTACTTCAATATTGAGAAAGTACTTTAGTCTTCCACGTTCCTTGATCTCAAATTCATTCATCAATTCCTTCTGAGTTCACTTTTTTCTTCATCTTTTATCCTTAGTGACTCTGTAATTGCCCTTGTTTCTGAGTGCTTGATAAAGAGAGAATCGCCTCGACTTTGCTTATACCTAAAGTCTTTCATTACCTTTGAGAATTTTCCAAACTTTGCTCTTGGGGATTGTTTTAGTCCATACAAGGCCTTTCTTAATTTGTATACTTTACATCTTAAGCTTTCAAATCCTTAAGAAATGCTCAGGTAGGTTTCCTCATCTAGATCGCTAGGAAGAAATGCATTCCAAACGAAGTTCCTATATCAGTGGTAGATATAATACATTTTTATGTTGCAACAAACTTCTTTTGTGGATTACAAGGACGTGGAGTAGAAAAGTAAGAAGTCAAAACGTTTATTCACTCCCCATCATGGAATGGATTGTCAAAAAAAAAAAAAAAAAAAAAAAAAAAAA